ATATGAGACATGGAGTTAAAGGAGATCATTTTGAGACTTTAAGGTTTAATGACTGTTCTATTGGATTTTGGACTTGCACGGGGCCTGTAGCCCCTTTGTTTTGGTCCATTTCTCCCATCTGGAATGGCTGTATTTACCCAATGCCTGTATCCCCATTGTATCTAGGAAGTAACTAACTTGCTTTTGATTTTATGGGCTCATAGGTGGAAGCGACTTGCCTTGTCTCAGATGAAACTTTGGACTTAGACTTTTGAGTTAATGCTAGAATGAGTTAAGACTTTGGGGAACTGTTGGAAGGGCACGGTTATGTTTTGAAATGTAAGGACATGAGATTTGTGAGGGGCTAGGAGTGGAATGATATGGTTTGGCTGTGTCCCCATCCAAATCTCATCTTAATAGTAGTTCCCATAATCCCCATGTGTTGTGAGAGGGACCCAGTGAGAGGTAACTGAATCACGGGGGAGGTTACCCTCATGCTGTTCTCATAATACTGAGAGAGTTCTCATGAGATAGTTTTATAAGGGGCTTCCCCCACTTTGGTCTCATTCTTCTCCTTCCTCCTGCCATGTGAAGAAGGACTCATTTGCTTCCCCTTCTGCCATGATTGTAAGTTTCCTGAGGCCTCCCAGCCCTGTGGAACTGATTCAATTAAACCTCTTTCCTTTATAAATTACCCAGCTTCAGGTATGTCTTTATTAGCAGCATGAGAATGGACTAATATATATGGCCTTAGCTTTCTTGTAATTCAAATGATAAAGGACAAGTATAGAATTTTAAAAAAGGACATACAACAAAACATGACTGCAAAAGGAACATGAAGAAGTTAATAGGAATTAGGAGGACTTAAAATCATATGAAAAACCAGTTCCAATTAACACCAAATAATGAAACAGTATCAAGACAGGCGAAGCTTCAGGCCAGGTGTGGTGGCTCACGCCTATGATCCCAGCACTTTGGGAGGCTGAGATGGGAGGATCACCTGAGGTCAGGAGTTTGAGACCAGCCTGGTCAACATGGTAAAACCCCATCTCTACTAAAAATAAAAAAATAAAAAATTAAAAAAAATTAGCCAGGCATGGTGGCACACACCTGTAGTCCCAGCTACTCAGGAGGCTAAGGCAGGAGAATCACTTGAGCCTGGGAGGTGGAGGATGCAGTAAGCCAAGATCATGCCATTGCACTCCAGCCTGGGCAACAGAGCAAGACTCCATCTCAAGGAAAAAAAAAAAAAAAGATAGGGAAAGCTTCTAATACTATCTTATAAAATTCTGTTTAGCCCTAATCTGTTCAATATTTATTCAAATTAAGAATAAAGCTATAACAAGAATGCTCAGCCAGGTGTGGTGGCTCATGCTTGTAATCCCGACACTTTAAAAGGCTGAGGCGGGAGGATCACTTGAACACAGGAGTGGGCAACACAGTGAGACCCTGTCTCTGTAAAAAATAGTAATAAAAGAAAATAAATAAATAAAATAGAATGTCTATAGGCATTCTAAAAGGATCAACACAATAAAAAGATGGGCTGTATTTAACAGCAAAAATTTCATCAGGATAAATATTAGGCTCAAAAGAATCAAGTACAAAAATACAGATGAGGAAATCAGCCTAATAGCATTTTATATAATAGCCAACACATTTCAAGTACTTCATGCATTGTTCAAAGCAACTCACAAATACTCATTTATACAACATGTCATCTACTGCACACCTACTACATGCCGCTGTTAAGCATCACAGATTATATCAGTGAACAGACATGAGCTTATTTATATTTTAGTGGCAGAAGGCAAACAAAACTCAAAACGAAAAGTAACTAGTATAGTAAATGCAATGGGTAAAAATAAAGAAGAAAAGTTTATAGGAAGCCTATATATACTATGATTATTACACAGAATGGTCAGAAAAGGTCTCAGAGAGGCAGAGTCTTGAGCAGACCCAGAAGAGGTGAGGTAATAAACCTACAAGTCATCTACTTGGAAGGCTGCTGCAGGCAGTATGCACAACGCTTTTTAGGTATAGTGTGCCTGACATGTTTGAGCAACACCAAGAAAGCCAGAGAGGCTGGAGAAAAGTAAACAGAAAAAGGAGACCAAGTCAGATAGGTAACAGGGTGGGAAAAGATAGAGATAATGAAAAGCCTTGCAGGACAGGACATTAACAGGAAGGACTCTGGCTTTTACTCTGAGTGACATGGGAAGTGATTGCAGTTTTAAGCAGATGTGGAATGATTTGACTTACATTTTTCAATCGTTATTCTGATTAGATACACTGAAAAGGTGAAGCCATTAGATTTGATGATATGAGGTATGAAAGACTTCTAATGGATGACTTCAAGATTTCTATCTTGAGCAACTGAGAAGGTAAAGTTTCCATTAATGACATGAGGAAGACTGCACAGGGGTGAAGATCCAGAGATTTTAGGTTTAGGATATCTATTAGATATCCAAAAGGAAATAATCTTGCATATAACTGGTTGGCCTAAAGTTTGGGGAGTATGTGTAGGCTAGATACACAAACATTGAGGGGTGTCAGTGTACAGGTAGTGAGTAAAGCCATGAGACTGAAGGGAGTGAACACAGACAGAGGAAACGTGGAGGAACAGACGACTAGGATACTCCAATACTTTTTAAAGTCACCAGAGAGACGAGAAGGGACCAGAACTCATTGAGTATTCACATATTTAATCTCCATTGACACCTTATAAATTATTATTCTTATTTTATACTTGAAGTACCTGAAATACAGAGAGATGTAACAATTGTCCAAGGACTTTATACCTAAATATAAAGTTCTAAATCAGGGTTCAAACCCAGGCAATCTGGCCTCAAACTGCATGTAAGACTTTTTAGACCTCCTCTGAAGTCTTGTACTATACATCTTGGCTGGCACACTTTAAAACACTTTAGGAGGTGCTCAATAAATGTTATCATTATCATCATCATTATTTTAGGAATGCATGCAGTAATTGTTTCACAAAATTATTCTGATAGTCAGAAATGTCACATGCTATTTTCCCAATCTGAGCCACAAGGGCACCAAGTCAGTAAGTGACTTTTTTTTTCTCTTAAATCTAAGTACTAGTTGTTTTTTTTCTTTATTCTCTCTCTTTTTTTTTTCCAGTTTTTATTAGCAGTCAACTAAACCAGTCAGTTATTTTGAGGGCAAAAGAAAATACTATATATATGTGTGTGTGTGTGTGTGTGTGTGTGTGTGTGTGTGTGTGTGTGTATGTGTGTGTACATATATATCTTAATCATTATTTGACTCAGAGCACAAAGTTTCTAAGTATGTCATTTTAAGGCATCAATTTTGAAAATAAACGATTGTAATTTCATAGTATAAGAAACACATCTAGGCCGGGCGCAGTGGCTCACTCCTGTAATCCCAGCACTTTGGAAGGCCAAGGTGGGCAGATCACCTGAAGCCGGAAGTTTGAGACCAGCCTGGCCAACATGGTGAAACCCCATCTCTACTAAAAATATAAAAATTAGCCCAGTGTGGTGGCACACGCCTGTAATCCCACCTACTTGGGAGGCTGAGGCACGAGAATCACTTGAGCCGGGGAGGAGGAGGTTGCAGTGAGTCCAGACTGCACCATTGCACTCCAGCCTGGGCAACAGAGCGAGACTCCGTCTCAAAAAAACAAAAAAGAGAAACTACACCTAGCTATATTCTAGCTTTACCTGTCTAGAACTTTCTATGATGATGGATTATTTTCTATGATAATGCTATATATCTGTGCTGTCCAATACAGTACACACAAGCCATCTGTAGCTACTGAGCACTTGAAATGCAGCTAACATGACTAACTGGATTTTTAGTTTTATTTAATTTTAATTAATTCAGATAGCTATATATATACGGCTAATGGCTACCATATTAAATAATGCAACTTTAGATTAAGACCCAGTTTTCAGGGCAACATAACCACGGATATTTGCCTGCAGCTATAAAATAATAAACATAACATGCAAATGTACAAAATGAGGTGAGCATCAAAACATTGACACGCTTAATAATCATTATCCCTTTTCTGCCATCCCCACTCTTTTTTAGGGTTACTGGGTGTCGTACCTTCATAATGTTTGATTTTTAATTACTGCCACCGTTTTCTAAACACTACGTGCTAACTTAATTTGAAAGCCATCTCTGTCCCCTGCCCAACACACACACACACACACACACACAGGGTCCTCTGAAAAACCAAATTATAGAATGAATATACAAGATGCGTCTCATTCCCTGTCTCAAATTCCGCCTCCTGGAAGCCTGGACCGACAGCTGGCCCTCGTCCGACACCTTCCCCATTGGGTTCTATGGACAAAGGGGGCCAGGGGCGTGGAAGCCACGGTTTTGGATTTCGTGGAGTAAGGGAAGAGCCACCCTCAGTGAATGTGTGGGTGTGTTCAGGCAACGAAAGGAACCAGGCAGCAGCTACGAGGGAAGAATCCAGTGACCGCGTCCGTATACACGAGAGGAGGGAACAGATACCCAAGCAGGCCCCGAGTTACCTGCACATCCCCAGGGAAATAGAGGACGTGATGCTGGCGCGGCGGCTGCGGCTCCTCCTTCGCCGGGTCCCCGGGGAGGTCCTGGCTCTCCAGTCCCTCCCCGCCCGCCGCCAACAGGAGCAATTCGTTGCTGCGCTGCGGATCGGCTCCAGGCACGGTGGACAGCTGCAGGCACTGCCGGCGGCGCACCTCGGCCGAGAGGGAGCATCGCGCGCCGCTGCTGCCGCCCGGGTTCATGGTTCTGGCCTGAGAGCACGACGAGGCGTTTCCGATTCCGAGCTGCGGCAGGAGAAGCAGCAGCGGCGGCGGCGACCGCAGGAGCCTGAACCCCCACATGGGTCGCCGCTGCGAGAGCGGTTCGGAGGTGGAGGGTGGCGGGGGGGTTCCTGAGGGAGGGACTTCAGCAAGCGGCCCAACGGTCGGCTGCCGCGGCCCGGCCGGGAGCCGGCGCTGAGGCGACGACGTCAGAGGCCGACGACCGCGCGCAGCGTGCGTAAGGAAAGGAAGGGAGGGGTGTGCGCGAAATCGGACTTGGGATCCCGGAGAAGACGGTGGGCGTGGCTTGAGGAAGGGCGTTTGTGATTGGTGGGTTCTGCCGCGGCCGGGAAGTTCGAACAGAAGTCTGGGGACGAGTCGGCGAAGAGCAGAGTTGAACTGAGTACTCCCGGCTAGAGCAAGCGGCAGTTGCAGCGCATGCGCAGCAGCAAGGGCGGCCGCAGGTCGCCCTTCAATAATACGAAACGTATAGACTTTTGAGTATACCAAGCTCCCTGTTTCTGTGGGTTCACCTGAGATTTATCTGGTCTTTCGGGCCTTAAAAGGGAGACAGTCCCAAAGATGTGAGTAATTCTCACCTATCGAGGATTCCGTTGGAAGTCTACATGCCCTGAAGGAAGGGAATCTCTTTCCTCATACCCTGAGTTTCCTGAGTACAATTATTATAGATATACGAAGATCTCTATGCTCATGGGGAATTTGCGGTTAGATATGAAGCTAATTCATCTCTGCTTGGTAGCGGGGAACAGGGCACATGGTCTAGGACAGGAAAAAACGGGGCGAGGCACTACGCATTACTTGGTGTTTGCAACCTATGAGATTTGCTACTTGGAGGTTTTCAAAAACTAAACAGTGTAGGAAAGTCATGTGTGTCCAGCAACTATCTGTGTCCAGTTGAGTAGGAATAAGATTTGGGGAAATGTATGCTCAGGCCTGTAATCCCAGCGCTGTGGGAGGCCAGGCGGAGGATCACTTGAGTCCAGCAGTTTGAAACCAGGCTGGGCAACATAGGGAGGCCTTGTCTCTACTAAATTTTTTTTTTTTTTTAATTAGCCGGGCGTGGTGGTGCATGCCTATAGTCCAAACTACTGGGGGGGCTGAGGTGGGAGATTGGATCGCTTGAGCCCAGGAGTTGTATGCTGCGATGAGTTGTGATCTCACCACTGCACTCCAGCCTGGGCAACAGAAGCAGACCCTGTCTCAAAAAATAAACCAAAAACAAACAAAACAGGGAAATGTGTGCATGCGAGGATGAGATGCAAGTACTTGTGAGGCAAAGCACTGTAAAGAGAATATTAATGAAAATTACAAAAACTACAGCCAACATTTGTTGAAGGTTTACTATAGGCCAGAAATCTAAGCACTTTGTATATAATTGTTCGGAGTTTATATATGTGTATTTAAGCACACATACTGTTTTCTTTGGTCTACATATGCAAATATTAACAAATGGCTTGGAGTAGACATAAATGAGCAAATGATAAAATATGTTTTTTTATATATATAGACTTAGTGATATATATACAGATTTATATATATTTATATAGATATATAGATATATATAGATTTAGTATGCTAACCTACTCTGGTCTAAATAATTGCATTCCATCTGACATCAAAATATTGTTATCAATCAAAAATTAATTACTAAGGAGATCTGCTGCTTTCTAAAATAACTGGTTAAAAACAAGTAGAGGTTAATTATACAATAATTAGTATATAATGACATTTAGGCAACCTGACTTCACTCTGTTTTGCCAATTGCATACATGTTACTTTCCATTGTTAGATAGAGAATTGCTGAAATGTTATCTAAAAGTCCAAACATGTACATGAATTGCAAAAGCAGCTTTTGATTTGTGGTCTTGTTTTTAGCTTGACCTTTTAATGAAATCTGTTTTTATTTTTATTTTTATTTTTTTGAGACAAGGTCTTGCTTTGTCGCCCAGGCTGCAGTGCAGTGGCACAATCTCGGCTCACTGCAATCTCCACCCTGCAGATTCAAGTGATTCTCCTGCCTCAGCCTCCCTCGCAGCTGAGATCACAGGCGTGTGCCACCACACCCAGCTAATTTGTGTATTTTTTTAGTAGAGACAGGGTTTCTCCACATTGACCATGCTGGTCGCAAACTCCTGACTTCAGGTGATCTACCCACCTTGGCCTCCCAAAGTACTGGGATTACAGGCAGGAGCCACCATGCCCTGCCTTAATGAAATCTATTCTTATTGAAGAGGATGGAGAATGTGTTTTAGAAGGAAAATTGTAGCAAATATTAAATACTACAGAGTTGTCTCAGTATTGCTAAAATAATTAAGGTCTTTAAGAAATACCAGTAAGGATTTAAAGAGTAAAGAAACAGACTAAAGTTAGCACAAATGTTTCCCTACAGTCAAGGGATTTGTACAGCCCTATAGGAGACACCTCCAGAGAAAGTAACAGCTCTCAATTGATTCACTGAGGTATGTATGTCATTTATGGCAAGTCATTGCCACTGCAATTCCTTCTCACAGATCCCCTTGATATTACTGTAATATCTATTTTCTGTCTCCATCCCTTCTGTCTTCTTCTAGGAGACCAATTTTGTAAATCACTACTTTTGTAACAACACTGGCACAGATGGCCCAGCATTCTCCCTTTTCTCAGAGCTGGTTTTCCATCCCAGAAAGAGGTCCCAGAAAGTTACTCTAATCAGTTGTGTGAGTTTTCTCTTCTCTAACTGGTAAGGGTTCTGCACAGGGATTAGATTAATGCTAATAGTGTCCAAAAGGCTATAGCTCGCCTCTGGACTCTTGAGAGTTCTCAAGGGATCCTGCTGAGCTCTCCCTTTTTAATGCTATTCAATATAATAGAAAAGTTGCAAAATTAGAAGGAATCTGAGAAAGACTAATTTACAATGGAAAGGACAGCATTAAAAGGCACAAACTCCAATATCTACAGGGGCCAGGTCTATATTATAAATAGTAAAATTGGCCACAAGTAAACAATGGGGAATGTAAACCCTGGCAAACTAGAGAGATGTCATATTTGAAGAAGGCAGTCACTATTCACTGCTAGCCAGTTGTAAAATGAAGGCAACATTTTGCTAAACCTTCAAACTTGTTAAGAGATTTCTCGACACAAATCAGATACAGATTTTTATGTTTCATTTGCCAACTTGTAAATGTTGACAACTAATTAAATTTGCTTGCAAAACACTGTATTAAATGCACATATAGACCATATTTGGCCTATGGGCCACAAATGTACAACTTCTCTATTAAAAGGTGAAATGACTGGATACAGAAAGGCAGGAGATCGGGGGAAGAAAAAGACAAGACAGAAAAAACCGGGCATAGTGGCTCACACCTGTAATCTCAGCACTTTGGGAGGCTGAGGCAGGCGGATCACTTGAGGTCAGGAGTTTGAGACCAGCCTGGTGAACATGGTGAAACCCCATCTCTACTAAACAAACAAAAATTAGCTGGACATGGTGGTGGGCACCTGTAATCCCAGCTACTCAGGAGGCTGAGGCAGGAGAATCACTTGAACCTGGGAGGCGGAGGTTGCAGTGAGCCAAAATTGCTCCACTGCACTCCATCCTGGGCAACACAGTGAGAGTCTGTCTTAAAAAAATAAAATAAAATAAAATAAAATAAAAGGGCAAAACCCCTTAAATGTGACTTTCTGTGAGCAATTGAGAGGGAAAAGAATGTGGAAATGATTTTAAGAAGTTCTGTGAGATTTTAATTGGATCACATTTGATGTTCTTTAAGAGATTTAAAAAGTTTTACTTTTAAAAAATTATTCTTGGTTTTGAACAGGTATTTTTTTGTGTTTTAATAAGCTTCTTTGCCAAAACTGGGCCTTGAGAGGAACAGGCTTCATATGAGGTGTGCCACTCTAGCATATAATTTGGGTCCCAAAATGCTCAATAAAATAAAAATTAGAGAATGGAGCATTTGGGGATTTGAAAGCTTATTCTTTGGCTAGTTTCACCAGCTAAGCAATACCATGTACACTGTTCCTGTGGTATATAATTTATTAGAGACCTACTTCCTCAAAATGCAAATCACTGCATATCAAGAAGGCTTTGGCTAAAGTCATGAAGATTTACTCCTATTTTTTTCTTCTAAAAATTTTATAGTTTTAGCTCATATATTTAGTTCTACACCCCCTTTTGAGTTTTGAATGCTTCGAAGAAGGGGTCCAACTTCATTTTGTGTGTGTGTGTGTGTGTGTCTATGCAGTTGGCCCTGTACCACTTGTTAAAAGGCTTTTTTTTTCCCCCATTGAATTATCTTGGCACCTTTGTTGAAAAACATTTGACCGTAAATTTAAGGTCTATTTCTAGACTCTCAATCCTATTTTACTGTTTTACATGCCTATCCTCATACCAATATGCACTGTCTTGATTATTGTAGCTCTGTAGTAAGTACTGAAATGGGGAAATGTGAGCCCTCCAACTTTGATCATTTTTTTCAAGATTGTTTTGGCTATTCTGGGTTCCTTGCATTTCCATATACATCTTAGGGTCAGCTTAAACATTTTTGCAAAAGAGGCAGTTGGAATTCTGATCTCATATTCTCATATATGGCACCAAAAGCACAAGAGTAAAAAAAAAGGGGGGGCATATCAGACTTTTATCTAATTAGAAAAAGTTTAGTGCTTCAAAGGATACCAATAGAAAATGAAAAGACAACCCACAGAATGAGAGAAATTATTTGGATATAACATATTGGTTGTGTTAGTCCATTTTATATTGCTCTAAAGGAATACCAGAAATTGGGTAATTTATTTAAAAAAACGGAGCAGGTTTATTTGACTCACAGTTCCGCAGGCTATAAAAGAAGCATGGCACCATCATCTGCTTCTGGTGAGGCCTCAGGAAGATTTTACCCGTGGCAGAAGAGAAAAGGAGCTGGCATGTCACATGTCAAGAGAGGTAGCAAGAGAGAAGGGAGGAGATCCTAGGCTCTTTTTAACAACCACATCTCATGTGAGCCTACAACCACTCATTACCATAGGGAAGGCACCAAGCCATTGGCTAGAGATTTGCCCCCATGACCCAAACACCTTCCATTAGATCCTGCCTCCAGCATTGGGGATCACATCTCAACATGAGATTCAGAGGGGACAAACCTCCAAACTATACCATTGGTTAAAGGATTTATATCCAAAACATAAAATCCATTCTTACTACTCAGTAATAAAAAGAAAACCCAATTTTTTAAATGGGTAAAGGATCTGAATAGACATTTCACAGAAGATATACAAATAAACAATAAGCACATGAGAAGATGCTCAATACCATTAGCCACTAGGGAAATGCAAATCAAAACCCTAAGAGATACCACATTATATCCACCAGGATGGTCACAGTAAAAAGACAGATAATAAAAAATGTCAACAAAAAGTTGGGTATTCATGCATTGCTCATAAGAATGGTGTAGTGGCTTTAGAAAACAGTTTGATAGTTTTCAAAATGTTAAATATAGATTTATCATGTGACCCAGCAATTCTACTCTTTGGTATATATTCAACAGAAATGAAAATATATAACCACACAGCAACTTGTTCACAGATGTTTATAGCAGTACTATTTGTAATAGCCAAAAAGTAAAAACAACACAAATGTGTATTAACTGATAAATGAATTAAAAATGTCATATATTCATACAATATATTGATTTATTGAATAATAAAATATTAATCAATAATAACAAAAAGGAATTAGCCTGGGCACAGTGGCTTATTCCTGTAATACCAACACTTTGGGAGGCTGAGGCAGGAGAATTGCTTGAGCCCAGGAGTTCAAGACCAGCCTGGGCAACATAGTGAGACACTGCCTCTATTTTTTTTAAGTAATTAAATACTGATCTAAGCTACAACATGAATGAATTATGAAAACATGCTAAGTGAAGGAAGCTAGTCACAAAAGACTACATATTATATGAGTCCATTTTTATTAGTGCTCTAAAAATTGAGTATCTATAGATTCAGAAGTTACATTAGTGATTACATAGGGCTGGCGAGAAGAGGAACTAATTAAAACCTGGTCACCAAGTCCACTTAAGGGGAGGAGAATTACCTTCCACCTTTTGAAAAGGCTCTACCTCTTGAGGGGAGGAGTATCCAAACTCTTGTAGACATATTTTAAAACAACCATACCCAAGCTCACGCTAGACCCATCAGAATTCAGAGAACTTTGAACTTAAGCACAAGGTGAATAAAAAATAAGGTACAGCCGAGTGCGGTGGCTCATGCCTGTAACCCCAGCACTTTGGGAGGCCGAGGCGGGTGGATCACAAGGTCAGGAGTTCAAGACCAGCCTGACCAACATGGTGAAACCCCATCTCTACTAAAAATACAAACAAAAATTAACCGGGTATGGTGGCACGCTCCTGTAATCCCAGCTACTTGGGAGGCTGAGGCAGGAGAATCGCTTGGAGGCAGGAGAATCGCTTGAACCCAGGAGGCAGAGGTTGCTCTGAGCCGAGATCGTGCCGTTGCACTCTAGTCTGGGTGATGAGAGAGACTCTGTAGGAAGAAAGAAAGAGAGAAAGAAAGAGAGGGAAGGAGGGAAGGAGGGAGGGAGGGGAAAGAAAGAAAGAAGGCTTAGCTAAGACTAGATTATTGTCAAGTCCAACAGAGCTTAAAGGTTAAAAAAATGATTATATGAGACTAAAACATAACCTTTATCTTGAAAAACCTGGGGAGCCACTGAAGAATTTTAAATAGGGAAACTCATGATCAGGTCTGCACTTTAGAAAGATCACTGTTACAGCAGTATGGAGAAGAAATTGAAGGAGGCAGAAATGCAGTCAAGGGAAGCCAGTTGGACAGCTACTTCAGTACTCCATATATGTCTTGTTATTTATTGTCACAATAATGCTGTATATATAACAAACCAATCTCAAATTCAGTAGCATAAAACAATAGTACTTATCATTGCTTATGAACCTGTTAGTCAGCTGGGCAGTTCTGCTGATCTGGCCCAGTATCAGCTGAACTTGGCTAATCCCTGTGTTCAGCTGACAGAAAGGTTAGGGGCTGGATTATTTATTATAGCTTCACTTGCATGTCTGGTGACTGCCTAGCTATTAGCTAAGGCAACAAAGGTGACTAGACTATGTATCACTTATTATCCAGAAGAGTAGTCTGGGCTTGCTTATTTTCATGATGCTGGTGCCTAGGAGAATGAGCAAAAGTGAAGCCAAGACTTAGAACTTGCATGTTATCCAGCTGCTGCATTCTATTAAACAGAGCAAGAAATAAGGCCGGCTCAATTCAAGGAGTGAAGAAATAGATTCCACCTCTTAATGGGAAAAACTGCGAAGTCATATTGCATAGGACATAGACATAGACAGGGTTAAAGAATTGTGGCCATTTTTATAATCTACCACAGTCCACTCTCTGGCCACAATTATTCACATCCCTCCTCATGATCCCTCTTCCTACTCCAAAATATGGTATTGTGGCA